CCCCAAAACCCCAAAACCCCGGGCTTCTGAATACTCTAAGAGTATAAAGATTAAATAAAAACAAAATTAGATTTATTTCAAGTTAGTAATATAATATATTATATTTAAGCTAAAGTAAAACATGGTAATTAAATTCTCTGATGAAAGCATAAAATTATTTATAGAGTAGCAGCAGTGAAAAAAGCAATGCCAATAAAAATCATTCATAGAATAAAAAGTAAAACAATCTGGATTAGTTCAAAAAGGTATCAATAACTAAACTTAATTTTTATCTCCAAATTAGAAATAAATCTAATCTGATAGTTCTGAGGATGAAGAAAGCGAAGATTAAAGTGAAAAGCAAAATAAAAAACATCTGAATAAAAAATTGAACTCTAATAGCAGTAATGACGAAGAGGATGAGAGCAATGATGAATCTTAAATTTAAAGTAATAGAAAACAGATTTAAGAAACTGATGATGATGAATCTGAAAGTGGTATTACTGAAAGTGAGAGATCAAAAAAATAATTGAAATAATAATAAAAGCAAATAAAAAAGAGAAAATAGTCTTCATCAGAATCATCAGATAACAGTCAGTAATCTTCTTCAGATGCAGAAGAGGAGGATAATTCCTCTAAAATTAAAACACAATTATAAAAGCCATTAAAGCAAAATAAATCCTCTTCTTAAAGTGATAGTGACGAGGATGAAAAAAGTCAGTTTGAAACTAGATCTGAAAAAAGCAAAATCATCAAATAGAATAATAATAATAAGCCATCGAGATAGTACACCAAATTGATTGAATCAGATGACATTAATGTGCAGTATAACGATCATTATCAATCATCTAAGGAAAAAGACTTAAAAATACTTAATTTAAGTGAAGAAAATAAAAAGTTTAAGCTGCTTTATGATTAAATGATTGTTGAAAATTAAGGTTTAGAGGAGAACATCTTAAAACTTTAGAATACTATTTAGAATCTTCACTATGACATTAAAGAACAACATATTGAAATTAGTTAGTTAAAGAATGATTTAGATGACTAAGAAATAACAATAAAATAAAAAGACAACGAGATTGCAGAGTCATAAGTGTGATTTAAAGATTTTAAGTAGAAATTAGACTAGATTTATTTATTAGAGCAGTAGTTAAAAAAGAGAACTGATGAGATAGGCATACTTAAGGCAAGATTAACACTTGATTTATATAATATTGAGTTAAAGATCGTGTCGGAGTATCCAGATATCTATGAGGAAAATTAGGGGTTTATTCAAACTATTTCTATTTAGGACACACTTTTAAAACAATAAAAAGAAACCATAAATAAGATATAAAAATAGCTAGATGATATTTAGTCTTCAAATCAAGAGAAGTTTTTACTTATTGAAAAATTACAGATTTAAGTAAAAGATAAAGACTAGCTAATTTAGAATTATAAATCCCAAGAAAGGCAAAATATAGATTAAATACAGACTTTAACTATCTAAAACAAAAGGCTAAATAATGATATCTTAGCTAAAAATGATGAATTAGAGGAAAGGTTAGAATAATTTAGTTTAGTTCTTAAGTAAAATGAGAGTTTGAAGCAGTAACTTAAATCGATTAGATTGTAATATGAGAGATTCAAAACTGAAAAGATTCAATATTTCGAGAACGAAATATTTGAAAAGAAAAGTGAGATAGAAGTACTGAGAGAAATGGCTAGAGGAAGCCAACTGCAAGTAAGGGTAAAAGAAAAAGAGATTTAGCGACTTAAAATCAAAGTTATGTAAATGGAGGGAAACGTGCTTCTAAGCAATATTAATAACAATAATTATTATAGCAATACTCCAGCCTCAAACAACCTAAGTATTAGAAAGGGCTATCAATAATTATCATAAAACAATAATTCTCCATCAAGATATTCTAATTTAGCAGGAAATGGAAATGGAGTAAACAGTAGAAATTAGATTCATGTTCTCAAGCCAATAAATTCAGGAAAACTTTCATCCCATATAAATGATAGTCAAGAGATAATTGATAGAAGTTATCTCGACACTAGTTTAAATAAATCAGTCTTAGATATTTCCAAAAGTAATAACAAGTCATATAAAATTAGAAATATAATCAACAATCGCAAATCTGTAAATGTGAGCTAAGTAAAAAATAGATTAAATGAGAATATCTAAATCAATAGTGGTGAAAACCCAAAGGAATCATCTAATTTAGAGTACCAACAAATTGATACTACATTTATGAATGAAAGCTTACAAGATCTGAGGTCTATTTAAGAATAGATACCTGAGACTAATTCATTTCAAGATTCTGCTAAGAGTTCAAGCAAGAAAAATGATAAATATTGAAATTTAGATAATAAAGGTTAATATAAATTGATTTCATAATTACCTACATTAATCATAAAATGATAATATAACTTTTGAAGAAATGATGGGGTTTTGGGGTTTTGGGG